TACTAACCTATGCCCCCACATATTGACTCTGTACCGGTAACCCCTGTATTTTGCCTCGCTACTGTTATTTTACTGCTGTTCTTTAATTATTTGTTATTTCTTTATCCATTTTTTACTGCATTGTTGGTTAAGGGCTTTTAAGTAAGCATTTCACTGTAAGGTCTACAGCTGTTGTTTTCGGCGCATGTGACAAATAACATGTGATTTGATTTGATGTTGAAAAGATAGCAACCTTCCCACTAGCCATGATTGGCTGTGATAATGAGTGGGCTGGACATGCCGAGAGATCGAGTTTTGAAATCAGTGGAATTAGAGTATAATAGTTTAGGAGATGGAGAAAACACCTGTCTCCGGATTACATCTTCAAACTAAGGGCAACCATGGCATCCGTGACAGAGAGGGAGAAGCGTCCGTCCATGTATACGGGTAAGATATTACACGTTTGTCACGATCGTCTACCAATGAGGAAGCGGACCAAAGCGCAGCGTTGCGAGTGAACATAATTTATTAATAAACGTACTCACGAAAACAAAACAAAAGACGATACGTGAAGTTCTCAAGTTACAAATCACTGACATACGGAACATGTAACCAAGAAACAAAAACCCACAAACCCCACAGGAAAACATACAGAATAAATATGGCTCCCAATCAGAGATAACGAACCGAACAGCTGACACTCGTTACCTCCGATTGGGAGTCATTGAACAAACCTAGAAAAACAACAACCTAGACACCCAACCTAGAACATAAACACATAGACTGCACACACCCTGGATAAACAATAATGAGTCCCAGCACCAGGGTGTGACAGTACCCCCCCCTAAAGGCGCGGACTGCGACCGCGCCTCAAAACCCCCAAACAGGGGAGGGCTGGGCGGGCATACCTCCTCGGTGGCGGTTCTGGCTCCGGCCTAGACCACCACCCCACCATAGTCACTTCCCGCTTATGTAGCCTCCTCCAAATGACCCCCACCGGTTTAAGGGGCAGCACCTGACTAAGGGGCAGTACCGGACTAAGGGGCAGTACCGGACTAAGGGGCAGTACCAGGCTGAATGGCGAATCCTGGCTGGTCGGCTCTGGCGGATCCCGGCTGGACGGCTCTGGCGGATCCCGGCTGGACGGCTCTGGCGGATCCCGGCTGGACGGCTCTGGCGGATCCCGGCTGGACGGCTCTGGCGGATCCCGGCTGGACGGCTCTGGCGGATCCCGGCTGGACGGCTCTGGCGGATCCCGGCTGGACGGCTCTGGCGGATCCCGGCTGGACGGCTCTGGCTGATCCTGTCTGGCGGAAGGCTCTGGCTGATCCTGTCTGGCGGAAGGCTCTGGCTGATCCTGTCTGGCGGAAGGCTCTGGCTGATCCTGTCTGGCGGAAGGCTCTGGCTGCTCCTGTCTGGCGGAGAGCTCTAGCGGCTCCGGTCTGGCGGACGGCTCTGTAGGCTCATGGCAGACGGGCGGCTTTGCAGGCTCATGGCAGACGGGCAGCTCCTGCGGCGCTTGGCAGACGGACAGTTCAGACGGCGTTGGGCAGACGGGCAGTTCAGGCGCCGTTGGGCAGACGGGCAGTTCAGACGGCGTTGGGCAGACGGACAGTTCAGACCCCGTTGGGCAGACGGCAGACTCTGGCCGTCTGAGGCGCATCGTAGGCCTGGTGCGTGGTGCCGGAACAGGAGGTACCGGGCTGAGGATACGCATCTCAGGGCTAGTGCGGGGAGAAGCAACAGGGCATGCAGGACCCTGGGGACGCACATAAGTCCTAGTGCGTGGTGTCGGAACTGGTGGTCCCGGGCTGAGGACACGCATCTCAGGGCTAGTGCGGGGAGCAGCAACAGGGCATGCAGGACCCTGGGGACGCACATAAGTCCTAGTGCGTGGTGCCGGAACTGGTGGTCCCGGGCTGAGGACACGCATCTCAGGGCTAGTGCGGGGAGCAGCAACAGGACGCACAGGACTCTGGGAACACACAGGAGGCTCGGTGCGTGGTGTAGGCACTGGTGGTACTGGGCTGGAGCGGGGAGGTGGCGCCGGAAATACCGGACCGTGCAGGCGTACTGGCTCCCTTGAGCACTGAGCCTGCCCAACCCTACCTGGTTGTATGCTCCCCGTCGCCCGACCAGTACGGGAAGGAGGAATAACCCGCACCGGGCTATGTGGGCGAACCGGGGAAACCATACGTAGGGCTGGTGCCATGTAAGCCGGCCCGAGGAGACGCATTGGTGGCCTGCTGCGTGGGGCCGGCCTCATGACATCCGGCTCAACACTCAATCTAGCCCGGCCGATACGAGGAGCTGGAATGTACCGCACCGGGCTATGCCTGCGTACAGGAGACACCATGCGCTCTACTGCGTAACATGGTGTCTGCCCGTACTCCCGCTCTCCACGGTCAGTCCAGGGAGTAGGCGCAGGTCTCCTACCTGCCTTCGCCACACTCCCTTTTAGCCCCCCCCCAAGAAATTTTTGGGGAGTAACCACGGGCTTCCAGCCTCGACTCCGCGCTGCCTCCTCATACCACCTCCTCTCGGCTGCAGCTGCCTCCAGCTCTTCACGAGGGCGGTGGTACTCCTCTGGTTGTGCCCAAGGACCCTTTCCAGCCCGTATCTCCTCCCATGTCCAAAAGTCCTTAGGAGGCTCCCATAAATCCTGCGTAGGTAGGTCCTGTTGCCGCTTGTTACGCCGCTTGGTCCTCTTGTGGTGGGTTTTTCTGTCACGATCGTCTACCAATGAGGAAGCGGACCAAAGCGCAGCGTTGCGAGTGAACATAATTTATTAATAAACGTACTCACGAAAACAAAACAAAAGACGATACGTGAAGTTCTCAAGTTACAAATCACTGACATACGGAACATGTAACCAAGAAACAAAAACCCACAAACCCCACAGGAAAACATACAGAATAAATATGGCTCCCAATCAGAGATAACGAACCGAACAGCTGACACTCGTTACCTCCGATTGGGAGTCATTGAACAAACCTAGAAAAACAACAACCTAGACACCCAACCTAGAACATAAACACATAGACTGCACACACCCTGGATAAACAATAATGAGTCCCAGCACCAGGGTGTGACAACGTTTTAAATAGTCAGAAAGTCATTTTCTTTTGGCTGTCTCGCTAGCTAATGTTACGTGTACGATCTGTGTAATAATATTATTCGTATCTCAGAGCCATTTGCTTAAGCAATGGCTTTTTTCTGGCCACTCTTCCGTAAAGCCCAGCTCTGTGGAGTGTACATCGTAATTAAATTATTGCCAGCAGCACAGTTGCAGCAACCAACTCTCTGGATAACATAAAAACAGCCTAACCAGGTCTGCTAGGGTGAGTAGAATGGTCAGAGTGAGCTGTTCTCTCATTTGTGTCTGGAAGTAGCTAGCAAGCTAGCCAACGTTAGCCAGTTAGCTTGGATGCTTGGCTGCTGTTGTTGTGTACGATCTTTGTAGTACTATTATTCGTATCTCAGAGCCATTTGCTTTGCTAGTTATAGCCTAATATTAGCTAGCTAACATTGAACCTGGTTGGTTAGCCACCTGCAGATTCATGCAGGGTAGTAACGTCATGAGTTGGGATTATGGTTAATTGTTTAGCTAGCTAGCTACATGTCTTATCAAAAGACTCCACTATGCAAGTAACCATTTCAATAGAATGTTCATGATGTCAATGTGACAACTGTTGATAGACGTAGCTGGTAAATTCGCTCTGGCTATCTACTCCGATTTCAGAGCATTCTCGTCTGAGTGTGCAAGAGCGCAGAATAACTGATGAATTTACGAACGCTCAATACCCATTGAATATGGCCTTTGTCAGTAAACGTTGTCAAAAAAGCATAATTAAATAGTTGCCAGCAGCACAGTTACAGTCACCAACTCTCTGGATAACATAAAAACAGCCTAACCAGCTTTGCTAGGGTGAGTAAAATGGTCAGAGTGAGCTGTTTTCTCATTTGTGTCTGGAAGTAGCTAGACAATGTTAGCTTGGGTGCTTGACTGCTGTTGTTAGGACAGAATGCTCGGATCAACCCTACTCTTCGGCCAGAGCGTCCAGTGTGCGCTCCAAACACTCAGAGAGCGAAACACTCTGAATTTACAAACGGACAAACTGACAACGCTCTGAGTTTATGGGCGGGGCTATAGCTTAAGAGGGTGTGAACGATGCTGAATGGGTGTAGACAAAGAAGAGCTCTCCAGTAGGTGTACCAAAACATTCAAAGGCCATTTTCTCAAAAGTGAGGTTACAAGTTTATTAACTTTCAATGCAGAATTACTTTCCCATTGTTCCTCAACTGTAGTGTATGATGTACCATTTTCTAGCTCTGAGTCTCTACTTTAATCCAACGTAAAAAACACCATTTCAAATTTTGCTATAGAAGACCAAATCGAGCCGGTCGGTCACAATTGTGTCAAATCGCCACCATAATAAGAGTTCAAAATTTCAGTATTTCTGTGTTCATATTTCAGAAGAACATATGGGTTCTTAGACATTCAGAACGGTGAAAAGATGCATGCTGAGGGCAAACAGAGAGCCACTCTACAAATGATCACTAACCTAAACAGGTCTATAATAGAAAAAAATCATATGTTCCAACTTCCCCCAGTCTCCCCTTACTAATGGGTATGTTCAACTTCAAACTGCTGTTGCTATGGTTATCCTCTCTTTTACTGCTGCTGTTGCTATGGTTATCCTCTCTTTTACTGCTGCTGTTGCTATGGTTATCCTCTCTTTTACTGCTGCTGTTGCTATGGTTATCCTCTCTTTTACTGCTGCTGTTGCTATGGTTATCCTCTCTTTTACTGCTGCTGTTGCTATGGTTATCCTCTCTTTTACTGCTGCTGTTGCTACGGTTATCCTCTCTTTTACTGCTGCTGTTGCTACGGTTATCCTCTCTTTTCCACCTCCCTCATTTTTTCTTTCTTTCTCTCTCTCTCCTTCCCTCTCCCTCACTCCTTCTACCCCTCCCTCCCTCCCTCCCTCCCTCCCTCCCTGATGGACTATGCTGCCTAGTCTAACAAACAGTCGTCCTATCAGGGCGTGGACTGGAGGTACCCATCACGGCTCCATCTGCGGGTGGTCACCCTGGTGGAGCACCCCTTCGTCTTCACCCGGGAGGTGGATGAGGACGGTCTCTGTCCCGCTGGTCAGCTCTGCCTGGACCCCCTCACCAACAACACAGCCCTGCTCCAGTCCCTCTTCCTCCAGGGGCCTAATGACAGCATTCCCATGAAGTATAAGAAGTGTTGCTATGGTTATTGCATAGACCTCTTAGAGAAACTGGCGGAGGACATAGGCTTCGACTTCGACCTGTATATTGTAGGTGACGGAAAGTACGGTGGGTTTAAGAACAGGCGCTGGACAGGGCTGGTGGGGGATCTTCTCAGTGGAGCGGCCCACCTGGCGGTCACATCCTTCAGTATAAACTCGGCCCGTAGCAGGGTTATAGACTTCACCTCCCCGTTCTTCTCCACCTCTCTGGGCATCCTGGTGCGGAGCCGGGACACGGCCGCGCCCATCGGGGCCTTCATGTGGCCCCTGCACTGGTCCATGTGGCTGGGAATCTTCATCTCTCTACACGTCACGGCCGTGTTCCTCACCGTCTACGAGTGGAACAGCCCGTTTGGGATGACGCCGCGAGGCAGGAACAGAGATAAGGTGTTCTCCTTCTCCTCGGCTCTGAACGTCTGCTATGCCATCCTGTTCGGCCGTACGGCTGCCATTAAGCCTCCTAAGTGCTGGACGGGTCGGTTCCTCATGAATCTCTGGGCTATCTTCTGCCTGTTCTGTCTCTCCACCTACACAGCGAACCTGGCCGCCGTCATGGTGGGGGAGAAGACCTTCGAGCAACTCTCAGGAATACACGATCCAAAGGTAAGAAAGGCTACTCAGCTTTATTAACTTAATCATTTAAATATATGCTGTGTAGATGAGTACTACTTGCAGTACAGGCATAAATAGTGCATCATAGGGTGTTGTGGGGCTGAGGCTGGGCATGGAGCTGGGGCTGGGGAGAGGAGCCGGGGGAGAGAAGCCTGGGGAGAGGGGCTGGGGAGAGGGGCTAGGGGAGAGGGGCTATGGAGAGGGGCCTGGGGAGAGGGGCTGGGGAGGGTGGCTGGGGTATGGGTATGGGGCTGGGACTGGATGAGGCATAAGGTTCAGGAGGTTATGGATTTTACAATGGAGAGGAGTTGAAGTCAAAAAGATATTTTTGAAAAGAGTCAAGTAGATCTATGAGGGTTGTAGTGTTGTGGAGAGTTCCAGTTTAAAGTGCAGTATCATCACAATGAATCAGTTCTAAGTAGCCTGGGGTGGTCCTAGTGGTCTACGCCGCCTCCAGAATAGGTCATATAATGTACCAGTGTGAATGTGGGATGGAATCCGACCCACTGCTATTCTAGCACACCCTCTCCTCCTATCTTTCTTGTAAGTCTTTCACTGTCCTGTCTAAACAATATATGTGAAACGGCTGGACAGCACAACTCCTTTAGAAATAAAACAAATAACAATCACAGTTTAAAGGTGACAGGAGCTAAGAGAGCTCTGTAACAGGTACAGGAGGTAATAGACCACAGTTACAGGAGGTAATAGACCTTAGTAACAGTTACAGGAGGTAATAGACCACAGTTACAGGAGGTAATAGACCTTAGTAACAGTTACAGGAGATATTAGACTACAGTTACAGTTGGTAATAGGTCACAGTTACAGGAGGTACTAGACTACAGTAACAGTTACAGGAGATATTAGACTACAGTTACAGTTACAGGAGGGAATAGGTCACAGTTACAGGAGGTACTAGACCACGTAGACCACAGTAAGAGTTACATATTTTCTGTTCTTCCAGCTTCATCACCCATCACAGGGGTTCCGCTTCGCGACGGTCCGGGAGAGCAGTGCTGAGGATTACCTGAAGAAAAGCTTTCCAGAGATGCACGGATACATGACACGATACAACGTACCAGCAACCCCAGATGGAATAGAACATCTGAAGTGAGTCAAGATTATACAATACTGACTCATCACTCATAACAGTTACAGGAGGTGATAGGACTGTTGTGTGGACCTCTGGCAGTCTCTATGGGGGTGCCACAGGGTTCAATTCTCGGGCCGACTCTATTCTCCGTGTATATCAATGATGTCGCACTTGCTGCTGGTGACTCTCAGATCCACCTCTACGCAGACGACACCATTTTGTATACATCTGGCCCTTCACTGGACACTGAGTTAACAAACCTCCAAACGAGCTTCAACGCCATACAACTGGCCTCCAACTGCTCTTAAACACTAGTAAAACTAAATGCATGCTCTTCAATCGAACGCTGCTTGCACCCGCTCGCCCGACTAGAATCACTACTCTCGGCGGGTCTGATTTAGAATATGTGGACAACTACAAACACCTAGGTGTCTGGTTAGACCGTAAACTCTCCTTCCAGACTCACATTAAGCATCTCCAATCCAAAGTTAAATCCAGAATCGGCATCCTATTTCGCAACAAAGCCTCCTTCACTCATGCTGCTAACATGCCCTCGTAAAACTGACTATCCTACCGATCCTTGACTTCGGCGATGTCATTTACAAAATAGCCTCCAACACTCTACTCAGCAAATTGGATGTAGTCTATCACAGTGCCATCCGTTTTGTCTCCAAAGCCCCATACACTACCCACCACTGTGACCTGTACGCACTTGTTGGCTGGTCCTCACTACATACAGTGGGGGAAAAAAGTATTTAGTCAGCCACCAATTGTGCAAGTTCTCCCACTTAAAAAGATGAGAGAGGCCTGTAATTTTCATCATAGGTACACGTCAACTATGACAGACAAAATGAGAAAATATAATCCAGAAAATCACATTGTAGGATTTTTAATGAATTTATTTGCAAATTATGGTGGAAAATAAGTATTTGGTCACCTACAAACAAGCAAGATTTCTGGCTCTCACAGACCTGTAACTTCTTCTTTAAGAGGCGTCTCTGTCCTCCACTCGTTACCTGTATTAATGGCACCTGTTTGAACTTGTTATCAGTATAAAAGACACCTGTCCACAACCTCAAACAGTCACACTCCAAACTCCACTATGGCCAAGACCAAAGAGCTGTCAAAGGACACCAGAAACAAAATTGTAGACCTGCACCAGGCTGGGAAGACTGAATCTGCAATAGGTAAGCAGCTTGGTTTGAATAAATCAACTGTGGGAGCAATTATTAGCAAATGGAAGACATACAAGACCACTGATATTCTCCCTCGATCTGGGGCTCCACGCAAGATCTCACCCCATGGGGTCAAAATGATCACAAGAACGGTGAGCAAAAATCCCAGAACCACACGGGGGGACCTAGTGAATGACCTGCAGAGAGCTGGGACCAAAGTAACAAAGCCTACCATCAGTAACACACTACGCCGCCAGGGACTCAAATCCTGCAGTGCCAGACGTGTCCCCCTGCTTAAGCCAGTACATGTCCAGGCCCGTCTGAAGTTTCCTAGAGTGCATTTGGAGTATCCAGAAGAGGATTGGGAGAATGTCATATGGTCAGATGAAACCAAAATATTACTTTTTGGTAAAAACTCAACTCGTCGTGTTTGGAGGACAAAGAATGCTGAGTTGCATCCAAAGAACACCATACCTACTGTGAAGCATGGGGGTGGAAACATGATGCTTTGGGGCTGTTTTTCTGCAAAGGGACCAGGACAACTGATCCGTGTAAAGGAAAGAATGAATGGGGCCATGTATCGTGAGATTTTGAGTGAAAACCTCCTTCCATCAGCAAGGGCATTGAAGATGAAACGTGGCTGGGTCTTTCAGCATGACAATGATCCCAAACACACCACCCGGGCAACGAAGGAGTGGCTTCGTAAGAAGCATTTCAAGGTCCTGGAGTGGCCTAGCCAGTCTCCAGATCTCAACCCCATAGAAAACTTTGGAGGGAGTTGAAAGTCCGTGTTGCCCAGCGACAGCCCCAAAACATCACTGCTCTAGAGGAGATCTGCATGGAGGAATGTGTCACACCCTGGCTCTGGGGACTCTATATGTTGAGCCAGGGTGTGTAGATTCTATGTGGTTTTGTTCTATGTTCACAGTCTAGTATTGTATTTCTATGTTGGCCAGAGTGGTTCCCAATCAGAGGCAACGAGTGTCAGCTGTTGCTGGTTGTCTCTGATTGGGAGCCATATTTAGACAGGCTGTGTTCCCACAGTGGTTGTGGGATCTTGTTCCTTTTGGTTTGTTCCGTGTTGGTTGTTTAACCTAGGACGTCACGTTGTTCGTTTATTGTTTTGTTCTTGTTATCACTAAAGATAATAAAGTATGTTCGCTCATCACGCTGCGCCTTGGTCTACTCCGTTCAACGATCGTGACAGAAGATCCCACCATACCAGGACCAAGCAGCGTGTCCAGGAGCAGGCAGCCTGGACGTGGGAGCAGATAATGGACGGGCAGGGGTCCTGGACCTGGGAGGAAATCCAGGCCGGGATGGATCGCCGTCCATGGAAGGAGACGGTGGAGGCGCGACGGAGAGAGGAGCAACGGCGTCAACAGTGTCGTCGTCGGACGGACGAGAGGCAACCCCAAAACATTTTTAGGGGGGGGCACACGGCATGGGCGACGGGGCAGCAGGAGGCAGCTACAGGGCGTATTAGGAGGTTAGGTGAGGAGGCCACCAGGTTAAGGGGGCTATTGGTCCAGAGGGAGCAGGAGTTAGTGGTTCAGAGGGTGGAGCTACTGGAGACGATAAGGGAGAGGGTGAGAGTAGAGGCACGGCGAGAGGAACTGTGTAGGCAGCTGAGGGAGCGGAGGGTTATGACGAAACCCAGTCCCGCTCCTCACACCAAGCAAGTGGTGTGCGTCACCAGTCCGGTCCGGCCCGTTCCTGCTCCCCGCACTAAGTTCATGGTGCGCGTCGCCAGCCCGGCCCGGCCTGTTCCTGCCCCTCGCACCAAGCCTTCGGTGCGCGTCGCCAGCCCGGCCCAGCCTTTTCCTGCCACTCGCACCAAGCCTACGGTGCGCGTCGCCAGCCCGGCCCGGCCTGTTCCTGCCACTCGCACCAAGCCTACGGTGCGCGTCGCCAGCCCGGCCCGGCCTGTTCCTGCCACTCGCACCAAGCCTACGGTGCACGTCGCCAGCCCGGCCCGGCCTGTTCCTGCCACTCGCACCAAGCCTACGGTGCGCTTCGCCAGCCCAGCCCGGCCTGTTCCTACTCCCCGCACCAAGCTAACGGTGCGCGTCGCCAGCCCAGCCTGGCCTGTTCCTGCTCCCCGCACCAAGCTAATGGTGCGCGTCGCCAGCCCGGCCCGGCCTGTTCCTGTTCCCCGCACCAAGCTAATGGTGCGCGTCGCCAGCCTGGCCCGGCCTGTTCCTGCCACTCGCACCAAGCCTACAGTGCGCGTCGCCAGCCCGGCCCGGCCTGTTCCTGCCACTCGCACCAAGCGTACGGTGCGCGTCGCCAGCCCGGCCCGGCCTGTTCCTGCCACTCGCACCAAGCCTACGGTGTTCGTCGCCAGCCCGGCCCGGCCTGTTCCTGCCACTCGCACCAAGCCTACGGTGCGCGTCGCCAGCCCGGCCCGGCCTGTTCCTTCCACTCGCACCAAGCCTATGGTGCGCATCGTCAGCCCGGTCCGGCCCGTTCCTGCTCCACGCACCAAGCCAGGGGTGCGCATCGTCAGCCCGGTCTGGCCCGTTGCTGCTCCACGCACCAAGGCAGGGGTGCGCATCGTCAGCCCGGTCCGGCCCGTTCCTGCTCCACGCACCAAGCCAGGGGTGCGCGTCGTCAGTCCGGCACAACCCGTGCCTGGGTCACCGGTGCCTGGTCAGGTACCGGTCAGCTGCTCCACACCGGAGCTTAAGCAATCCGCTCCTACGATGTCCAGTCCAGCTCCAGCCAGCGGGGCCAGACCGGACCAGGGGCGCTACGGGGGGATTATTGGAGGGTGGTGGGCAAGCCCGGAGCCGGAACCGCCTCCGAGGAGGAATGCCCACCCAGCCCTCCCCTGTTTGGTTTATGTTGAGGCGCGGTCGCAGTCCGCGCCTTTGGGGGGGGTACTGTCACACCCTGGCTCTGGGGACTCTATATGTTGAGCCAGGGTGTGTAGATTCTATGTGGTTTTGTTCTATGTTCACAGTCTAGTATTGTATTTATATGTTGACCAGAGTGGTTCCCAATCAGAGGCAACGAGTGTCAGCTGTTGCTGGTTGTCTCTGATTGGGAGCCATATTTAGACAGGCTGTGTTCCCACAGTGGTTGTGGGATCTTGTTCCTTTTGGTTTGTTCCGTGTTGGTTGTTTAACCTAGGACGTCACGTTGTTCGTTTATTGTTTTGTTCTTGTTATCACTAAAGATAATAAAGTATGTTCGCTCATCACGCTGCGCCTTGGTCTACTCCGTTCAACGATCGTGACAAAATGGGCCAAAATACCAGCAACAGTGTGTGAAAACCTTGTGAAGACTTACAGAAAACGTTTGACCTGTGTCATTGCCAACAAAGGGTATATAACAAAGTATTGAGAAACTTTTGTTATTGACCAAATACTTATTTTCCACCATAATTTGCAAATAAATTCATTAAAAATCCTACAATGTGATTTTCTGGAGAAAGAAAATCTCATTTTGTCTGTCATAGTTGACGTGTACCTATGATGAAAATTACAGGCCTCTCTCATCTTTTTAAGTGGAAGAACTTGCACAATTGGTGGCTGACTAAATACTTTTTCCCCCCACTGTATTCGTCACTAAACCCACTGGCTCCAGGTCATCTATAAATCTCTTCTAGGCAAATCCCTGCCTTATCTTAGCTCATTGGTCACCATAGCAACACCCACCCGTAGTATGCGCTCCAGCAGGTATATCTCACTGGTCATACCCAAAGCCAACACCTCCTTTGGCCGCCATTCCTTCCAGTTCTCTGCTGCCAATGACTGGAACGAACTGCAAAAATCTCTGAAGCTGGAGACTCTTAATCTCCCTCACTAACTTTATGCATCAGTTGTCAGAGCAGCTTACCGA